CATTCCTTGGTTATTCCTCTTCATTCATGTAAGCTACTTTGTTACCCAAAAAGATTGTAACTTGATGAGAAAGGGCTTTAGGTGTTTAATTATATCCTATGTTTGGGGTGTTTTGTTATGCGAGATTGTGTTTTGGCCTGAGATAGATATAATAATGGTCTTGCCTCGGTGAATAGGAATAGGTTACATGTTTGTCTGGTTCATGCATTTGCAAGGCATTGAGTTTTCACATAAAAACTACTGAAATGGTTTGGATGGCTAATGCTCTTAAAGTTGTTAGTAGTTTATCATTCAAAATCCTTAATGGCTTTTCATTTCTCCTGACAGGTATGCCCGGTATGACCGCCTATGCTGGGTTTTATGAAATATGTACTCCTAAGAAAGGGGAATATGTCTTTGTGTCGGCTGCATCGGGTGCAGTTGGTCAGCTTGTGGGACAATTTGCAAAGATGATGGGTTGCTATGTCGTTGGAAGTGCTGGAAGTAAAGAAAAGGTATGGAAACGAGCAGAAGCAGACTTACTTGAACTCTAGTTCTATCTCGGGGTAGCAGTAACTGACCCATTTCCTTAATTCTTCGCCTTGTAAGGTTGATCTCTTGAAGAATAAGTTTGGATTTGACGATGCATTTAACTACAAGGAAGAGCCCGACCTTGCTGCTGCCCTGAAGAGGTCAGTAAACACTGCTTTTAGTTCATCTTACGATCATATATAATCAATCAGACTCCCACTAAACCCTCTCGGGTGGAAAATTCTCGAATAGGTGTTTCCCGGAAGGCATCGACATATACTTTGAGAACGTGGGCGGGAAAATGCTGGATGCAGTGCTTGTAAACATGAGGATGAACGGGCGGATTGCGGTATGTGGAATGATATCGCAGTACAACCTCGAAAACCCGGAAGGAGTACACAACCTGACCACCATAATCTACAACAGGATCCGAATCGAAGGGTTCGTGGTATTTGATTACTTTGACAGGCATTCCAAGTTCTTGGACTTTGTGCTCCCGTACATAAGAGAAGGGAAGATAACGTACGTTGAGGACGTAGCTGAAGGACTCGAGTCTGGCCCTTCCGCTCTGATTGGACTCTTCCATGGTAAGAACGTCGGCAAACAGCTTGTCGCGGTTGCTCCTGAATGAGATCTGTTAAGTTGATCGGTTGCAGCAAGTAATGTCTTGATATGTTTAGTACGAGAAACCAAAAAAAAAAAAAAAACGACTGTGTTGTTGTCTTGTTTTTGGGAGTGTTTGTTTCTAAGTGTTCTCTGTTTTGTCTTTCAATAAGTTTGTATGACAAAAAAAAACTAAATAAAATATTTGCTATGGGTTTGTGACAAGAATTTTTCTTTTCTTTTTCTTGTTTGAATTTTAGGTCCAACTAATATCGAGGTTTAATAATGTTTTGTCTTGTATTTACGGTGGCTTAATCGGGTTTCAGTTCAGGTTCGATTCAGTTATTTCAGTTTTAAAAAACTATAATTGTTTGTTTTTTACATTGAATTCTGTTCGATTCGGTTTGATTATATTCGGTTAACTATTCAGTTTTTACATTGAATTCCGTTCGATTCGGTTTGATTATATTTGGTTTGAGTTCTGTTAAGTTATGATAAAAATACTCAATTTTTTAAATTTTTTTTACGATTTTTCGTTTATTTTTTTATTCGATTCGGTTCGATTTCGATTTTTTCGGTTTTAAAAAAAACATAACTATTCAATTTCATATATAACTCGGTTCGATTATAGCTGTACGTTATTCAATTCAAAATCGATTCGGTTATTGGATTATTAGCCAAAAGCCATCCCTAAACTACAAAAGTACTTAACAATTTATAGCAATATATATACGATCCATATTTCGAGGGCCGGTCCGGTAGGCCCATGACTGAGCGCTCAGGCCTCTCTCCCTTAGATTCTTCTACGCACTCGCCTCGTCTTTCCTTGGCCTCCTCTTCTTTCCCCTCTTCGGTCTCTTCGTTGGTGTCGGAGCGAATGGCGTCGAGTCTCCTGAAAACCCTAATCCGATCGCAAATTCTGCCTTTGTCCAGAAGGAACCACAGCCTCGTCGGAGCTCAAGTCAGCAATCATACCGCCAAATGGATGCAGGTACTCCTCCCTTTCCGTCAATCCATAATCGTCATCTTCGCGGCTTTTTGCTTCCGAATCTGATATATATTTGATTCGGTCTCACGCTTCTTAATCTAATTTTCTGTGAACTTTATGACAATTTTTACCTGGGGGGGGGGGGGGGATCGTTTTTTAGGTTTGGATCGCGATGTGTGGCATGTTGAGCAGTCGCTCTTCCTGGTGTTGAGCGACGTAATTTAAATAGCTGCCTTACTTGGGTTTTGTTGCAAAGGCCTAGGATTGTCACGCTTTAGTCCTAGTTGAAGATGAGACATTTCATGCTTTACATTTTTGTTGTTTGATTGGGATCTGAATACCTTCACTTGGTTGACATTGTGCTCTGCTGTAAGAGTTGCTCTTGGCTAAATATTCCCAGAACTGTTGTCGTCAAGTATCATCTTTGTGTACTTTTCCAAATATGGTGTTGTACTTTTATAAATGACTCGCATCGCATCATAAAATTTCTTACTGCAACTATTCTTTTACCCATTTTCTGGCAGCATCACATAGCAAGAACATTATGATGAAGTACTTGTATCTTTACAGGACACGAGTAAGAAATCACCAATGGAACTCATCAATGAAGTCCCGCCTATCATAGTTGAGGGAAGGATTGTTGCTTGTGAAGGAGGTTTGTTCTCTTTTCATTTCTCTTGTATGCTAGTCAGTACAAGATGTGTTTTTTGCCCCATATTAGCTAAGTGTCGGTCTACAAAATAAGGGAAGTCATAAATTTGGGAAGGGGTTCGATATATGATTTTTGAGAGGATAAAGACACTGATTGATATATCGTGTTTAACATGCAGACACTGATCCGGCCCTGGGTCATCCCATTGAGTTCATATGCCTTGACTTGGACGAGCCTGCTGTCTGCAAGTACTGTGGCCTCCGCTATGTCCAAGATCACCATCACTAGACCAAACCTGAAGTCAAAGTCTTTGTTTTCGGGCATTTGTTCATTCTCCTGTTTTACCCATTTTGTGTCTGTGAAATCATACAGAATCGCGTGTATCTCTTTGTATTTCCATCTACTCGCTGGCACACAATAAAGGGTTTCAGTCACATTCGTTTAAGTGTGAGTCTTGCTACTGCCTTCAGCATGGATTCCTTTCAGATATCTGTATTCAGCTCGCCGCAACTCTTCGTGGCAGATAGTGATGCAAGGTTGGAGTGGTGCTACTGCTCCGCAAGAGTTCAGGAACAGGGTGCTAATCTTTATGCAGCTATCTAAATTTCTTTTTCATGGAGGACTTTTTTTTTGCAATTTCGATGCCCTTGGCTAAAAAACAAAAGATCTTGCTGTTTTTCTTCAACTGGTCCTTGATTACTGGCTGGAAGCTGATAAAAAAAAATGGTGTTAAAACTGATGAGTAGAAGATTACTCAGAAGGGCATAAGAGTTTTGCCATTTGGTTACAAATAGAACCAAGGAGGAGGCTCATGAATGAATAGCCTTGACAAAGAAATGCCAAAGGAATTTAAAAAAAAAAAGAACCTAAGCAATAACAAAAATCTTTCCTTTCAACCAAGGAGAACACGATTTAAATCAGCACTCTGCCTCTAACCCTCTGAAACGATTGCAGGGTTTCACACTTTTTTTTGGTCAACTCTTTGCCTTGTTCATTTATTTCTTGTTACCCGAATCAGAACCGGCAAGTTTTCTTCTTTGCTGATGCTCTGCGACTTTGTAATCCACGACCTCTCTGAAAAGGTCAGGGTCCAAGACGCAGCTCTCGCTCCCGTACACGGCTGCCTGAACGCTAGCCATCAATTTCGCGATTTCTCTACCAGAAAATCCCTCCGCTTTCGCGGCCGCTTCCTTCAGTATATCATCGGTCACGCCCTTTATCTCGATCTTTTGCTGCTCTTTCTTGAAGAGGCTGGAGAATAAACCCGGTTTTCTTGGACCGGCCTTGGCAATGTACTTGTCCAGATAGAGCTTCAGAAGCTTGAAACGCTCTTCTTCTCCCGGGAGAGGGAACTCGAGAACTTCGTCAACACGGTCAGACACGGCCGAGTCCAGGTCACCAGGCCGGTTCGTGGCAAGTGCTAGGACTATGTCTTTGGACTGGTCGCCCGTCCGGAATAGAAGGGCATTTAGTGCACTCCTTTGAGCTTCACTCATGTATGTTTTGTTCCGCCTGTCGAATTTCAAAACACATGTAAGAGTTCAAAAGTTTTAGACTTTTCAACGGTTAGAAGTTAGAACGATATCAATCAACAGGATATCGTGATGTATGTAACAGATTGAATCCTGGAGCACAGGATAATGTAACCAAGAAATGATATGATCATTACACAACTAGAAAGACGATTTAGTAAGTCACGTACTCGCACAAAAACGCATCGGCTTCATCAATGAAGAGCAACAAGCCTCTCTTAGACTTTTTGGCCCAATCGAATAGTTGGTGTATCTTTGTAACAGCCTGAGGCCCGAGCGGAGCAACATCTCCACCAGTCATCAATGCATAGTCCAACCCCTGCAATGCAATGTATACAGACGCTAGAATGAGATAAAAAAATAAATAAACCAAAATCATATGGTTATATTTTATGCAATCAATCAAGTTCAAATTCAGATTTGGCTGTAAGATATTAACTCTACCCTAATAGAATGCATATATACCCTAGAGGATATATTACATTTTCCGATAACTTGTAGACAGCAATGGAGAGAATACATACAGATTTACGAGCCAGCTCCCGGGCAGCCATTGTTTTCCCAGTTCCTGGAGGGCCATAGAACAGCATATTGCGGAAAGGTGCCTGGTGGGATTTTGTGTTGGCAGTTGCATTAGCTAGTTGTTCGATTCTCTTTTGAAGAGATGGGTGCAAAATAACATCACCAAAACCATTTCCGGTTTTCGATGCTGACTCCTTACTACCAGCCCGTAAAGTGGACATTGCACGAGAAATCACACCAGACCAAGGGTACTTTCCTCTTGACGATTCTCTTATTAGTGATGGTTGTCCTAATATTCTGTCTACATAACTCCAGATCACTTTGGCACCTTCCCTGCAACAAGAAATTAAGTTAAGTTCGAAGTCCCATTTCAAAAGCATATGTCAGTGTGATGAAACAATTACATAAGAAGGAATACGCCTTTCACAGAAGAACACACGAGAAACAAGTAAACTAGGAAGCTTAGCCATGCATCAGATTACATATCCATTATTTACCTAGTTGTGTAAATCCCTGCTGCAAGGGCAGTTACTCCCCCAACAGCAACAACCAGCTTGTTTTGATCTGTCAAAATGGCACGCAAGCCCCCTAGGGAAAAAAAAGGAAAAGTCGTCAACTGCTAAACAAAAAAAAATGATATCACAATAGCATCTATAGATGGGGACATCATATGACATGCACATCCATTCCTATCAGTAAGTCATAAAATGCAGCATTAAGACTAACTGCTGATGTGGGATATCTAGTTTGCATACAGACTTACCCTGGGAATGCGATTACATGTAAAATCCAAAAAAAAAGGGTTGTATTAAAGCAAAAGACACCAAGTTTATCCTTAATGCCATACCTCCGATATGATCGAATGTAGTATTTATGGCAGCAACCCATTTCTCCCTTTCTGCATTTGCACGATCTACAAGCATTCTCCTGTTTACATCTTCGGCAAGCCTTGCCTCATGGGCTCTCCCTTCTGCTTCAGCTATAGCCTTGACCCGGATTGTTTCTCGCTCTATCTCAGCCTTTTCCCTCTCCGTTTGCCGCCTCTGTGCCTGAATCTGTTCCTCGGTAGCTCTCCGAGCCTGTTCCTGCCGAATTGCTGATTCTTCTTGCAGTTTCACAAGCTCTTGATTTCTTGCTCTTTGAAGTTCATTCTCTGCCTGTAACAGGAGATATTGTTAAGATGGAGAGGAAAAAAAATTGTTGTGATAATAAGTAAAATGTTTTAGGTAGTTATGTGCCTGCATCCTCTTTCTCGCAAGCTCGTCTTCATAGCGAGCCATCTGCGATTTTGTTTGCGCTTGGTGCTGAGCAAGTTTTTTCTGTTCATCATATATCACCCTTTGTCTCTCCTGTAAAACGTAAAACAACATGAGCACGTCTTTGGGATGCTCATAGACCACAATTTTCTTAAGTAGGAATCGAACACAGTTCCGCCAAACTACCGCCAGGGATACACCAAACTACTGGTGACAAAATTCATGGACAAGGTCCTACCACCAAAGAGAATCTACAACCAATCCATGGACAATGAAATTATGGCTAGTTAATCTCACGGTTTCAGCTTGGGCTTGCATTGCTTTGAATTCTTGCGCCTTTGCAGCAAACTCAGATTGCCTCGTCTCTTCTTGCTTCTTTATAACTTCAAATACCTACAATACAACAATCACCAAAAAGCACCACTCATAAGAGAACGAAATTCTGATGCATCCAATGATTTTTTTCCATAGAAAAACTTTAGGCTCAAATCGTTATTCTATAGATTCACAATATAAATTACTATCATTGAAAATACGCCTTAGCCTTTTAATAGAAAAAGACTTGAGCTTTTGGTGTTATAAGAAATTTCGCAGAGCTACTTGGCCTCTAATGTATAGACAATTATGGAATTCATTTGCTTCTGTAAAAAATATCAAAACGCCAAATTCAAATTACACACAGCCAAATCATCGAAACGCTTCCACACACTAAGAATTCAACAACCAGCGAAAAATTCCGTAAACCCAACAAAAAATTCGAGACCTTTTTAGCCTGAGAAGAGCTATTGATCTCCCTCAAGGCCTTGGCCCCTCGCTCAAGCGCCTCTGGATCGAACCCAGCAGACGTCGTCCTCGGATGATCATTCCGGACCTTCGGAGGAGCCGGAGAATCTCCGCCGGACGCCGACGGTGCCTGCTGAGATTGAGGCGGCGGAGAAGACTGCTGAGGACTCGGCGTAGCCGAAGAGCCGGAGAGGAAATTGAAAGGACCATCTGCGGCGGCGACTTTGGACTGCACAATCGAAGCAGATGCTGCCATGGCCGAGATTATACCAATTGCACATTTCTGAGCCATTTGTTGTTCCCGAAAATTTTCCGAGAAGAAGAAAAGGAGAAATCTACGGTTTCCGTCGATTCCAGAGGTTTAAAAAATGCAGTGCAAGGTTTATGGAGAAGAGATTGGCAAGAAAAACAAGGGATTCACACGAAAATATCTCTTCCCATAGAAATGAGAGAGAAGGAAAAAAGGTAGGAGGCAGAGAAGTTGCAGGGGTTTTGGTAGGGTTTCTTAGTGACGCAGTATTCGGCAGGATTAGGTTTTCGGGTCGGTTGTACCCGACAACCCGACCCGCCCGACCGTCGGATTCTAGGCGGTCTGGCTTTGAGGGCACGACATATTCTAATACGAAATATTTCTTTTTCTTTTTTGACAAAATAATACGAAATATTTGTGTTTGATTAACTCTTTCGTTTTGTTTATAACGATTTGAGTAGCAGTAAATATCTCTAGAAACGTATTTCTATTTAATTAATATAATACTCTCAATATTAAATATGAAAAATATATATGTACTTGCCACAGAGAAACTCGTGCAAGAAAATTATAGATCCATTTAATATTTTAGCGGTAGAATTATGATTACAAAATTTAAATAGACAAAAATTGTCTTAGAAAAAAAACAAATATAAATAGAAAAACCACCCAAATGTGAAGACATGACCGAGAGAACTAACTCTATCTATCTTAGTTTTAAGTACCCCATCTCTCTTGTCGGAGAACCATCGGTCTGTTCCCACATCCGTCCGTACAGACGAATCTAATGAAGGGGATGCGGAAGAAAAAGGGCGGGAAACAGAGGAGATCAAGGGAAAGTGAAAGATCCACCGATCTGGTTGGAGCCTGCAGGAGGGTTGATAGCCACCCAGAGAAGGGAAATGGTGATGGCAATCAGACCAGACCAGACGAACACAATGGTCGGCGTTCTTCCTCTCCGTCCCATCAGCCCTTTCGCGAACGGATAGAGATGAGCCAACACCCAGAAGCTGAAAAACACGCCCCCGATGAGCCGGCTCCACTGCGGAATCACGCTGTATATCGTCCTTCTGAACCCTACGGCAATGGCTATGAGATTCACCATGATGATCACGATGGGCGGGATCATGAGCGAAGTCCATTTCACCATGTAGAGATCCGCAAAATCGTCGTCGTTCTCATCTCCAGCGGATTTCGACGTCAGAGTGAACGAGATTTCGATCCCTGCAACCACTTTGAGCAGACCCTGCAGGACTGCTGCAAGGTGAGCGCTCGTTCCTCCGATGAGCCAAAACTGCTCGTTCCTCCACCATTCTTCAAGCGAAATGCCTGACCATTTGATCTCGAGGAGAGCCAGCAGGCAGAGGGTTATGGAAATGATGAGGAGGTAGGTGAGGAAAGTCACGTTAAGGGTCTGGACGATGAACTGGCCCGAGAAGAGGGAGAGCGCTGGGAGGAAGCAGTAGACGATGAGGAAGAAGGAGGTGAAAGGGTAAATCCCGACATTGAGGTAAGCGATCCTCTGAAGTATCTTCATTCGCGGGCTGGCGAGAAAAGCGTTGTTCCTCGAGAAGAAAATCTCGACAGAGCCAGTAGCCCATCGGAGCACTTGATGAAGCCTATCTGTCAGATTTATAGGTGCAGTGCCTCGGAAAGCATCACGTTTGGTCACACAATATACCGATCTCCAACCACGGTTGTGCATCCTGTAACCGGTGACCACATCTTCGGTCACGGACCCGTAAATCCAACCGATACGAGATCCCCACTCGGTTTTGTCCTCGTACCAGCAAGAGATCACAGCAATAGCTTCTGCAACTGTTGACGCATCAAGAAGCTCACGGGGAATGGTGAGGGCACCGGGCGGGCGGCCATTTTTCACGGCCGGGTGATCTGCAAGAGGACGGCCTTGGAACTCTGCAACCGGGATGGAATCGATGAGAAAAGTCGAGTTCCCGAATTTCTTTGGGATCAAAGAGAGATTCATCTCTTCGTCATCAGAGTCGCCCATTCTCAAGGCCCGGGTTTCCTCCGGGACTTGAGTCTGCTTCTTGCGACGGCGAAAGCAGCAACTGCAGCAACCGGGATGATGTTCTTTGGATCGAGGTGGGTCAAATCCGTACAGCGCAATTCTTCTGAAGAGACAGCCAGTTCCGACATAAACAGGACCCATAAGCCCATCGAGAGCTCTCATGTTCACATCGAAGAAGACAGTGTTGTGATTAGCATACCGATCTGACGGGTCAATACCTTCGAACCGTTGAGGGAACTGAACGTAACAGATTCGGTCGCCTCCACGATCCATCATAAAGCACATTCCTTCTCTCAGAGCCTCAGAATTGTAGATGTAGTGATCACAGTCAAGATTGAGTATGAAAGGTCCATTGGACATGACTGCAGAAGCTCGGACTAGGGCATTCATGGCTCCCGCCTTCTTGTTATGATCATAACCAGGCCGCTTCTCACGGGAAACATAAACAAGAAGCGGGAGACGAATATCCACTTCCAACAAATCAAGAAACCCTTCTGATGTTCCGTGCAACGGCTCGTCACTTGGAGGTTTCAACATCACCTGCATTGTCGGGAAATACAGAAACATATGAGAATTGAATGAATTACCAGTGAGCTCTTTCCCCTTTTCTGCCAACATTCCATATCATCTTTCTTGGAAGGCAACAAGAAATTTCAGAATTTTTGAGAAAATTTAGAGCTTGGGAACGGATAAAGACCTGAATGATTCCGGCATGATCACCACGGGAATGGTCGGGAGAAGGATGCAACCATGTTCCGGGCCAATGGGTACCATCTGCCATCCAGGTGGCTTTGGGAATTTTCACTGGCTCTACAGGCTCATCATCTCGATGATTCTGCCTTTGCATCTTCATGGCCTTGATTTCCTCGCGAGCATGATAAGCATCGGACCGACGCCGAATAGAATCAGGCAAGCTGTTAACCCTAACCTTGAACTCGTCATACTCACGCTTCACCCGCCTACGATCCTTCACAAAATCGGGCTTCACCTTGTTCTTGTAAGGATCCCTTTTCAGGTTAAAGTAGGATTCAGGATTCCTCGGCTCGATATTATGCTTACGACAGAACGGGACCCACATGTTGGCGAAACTTGCAGCTTCAGCCATGGCTTCAAACGTTAGAAGGGCTCCTCCATCATCCGAGACATAGCATGAAAGCTTCTCAACAGGATAATCAGCAGCCAGAATGGACAAGATGGTATTAGCAGTGACCAGAGGAGGTTCTTTCTCTGGATCGGCAGTAGACACAAACACATCAACTCCGGGAAGGTCGGATTTCCCAGTGGGGTTGCTCGGTGAAGGTGTTTCAAACTTATCCTTCAGGACGTTAAGGTCGGTAGCACGATTGACCGGGCATAGTTTAGGGAGCTGGTCAAGAAGCCAAGAAAACGCAAACCAGATTTCGCAGACCACTGACATCCCCCACAGCCATATGGCATCGTTGTTTTGATGCTTCACCCTCCATGCCAAGAACAGTGCAAGAACAAAGATCCGGATAAATATCAAGAGCCTACAACAAAGATGATGAAGTACGATACAGAACATATCTGTCAGTTCAAGCAGAACTAATACGAAATGACGTTTTCATGGTTAGCAAGTAACGGAAAAATACACCCGAGTTTACCTGTATGGACTAATGACAGCAGCAGGAA